TATTCGATATGGTCGCTACTATAACCCGTGACATTGGCCATATTGATAATTTCATCCTTATGATTATTACTAACTATTATAACTTACTAACTAGGGCCTTATGCTAACTACTATAACCCATTAACTAGGATCGTACAGTTAGTTTTGTGTTGATGATCCCACTTCTCAAGGATATAATTTCATCGCTATCATCAAATTATTATTTAAACATAAATCCTTTTCTCATTTCATTCATAGGCATGATCCATCATTTACTTAACAAAACATAAGAAAAATCATATGCTTGATCCTATTTTCATATGCAGAATATAAAAAAAAAAATTTACTCACTTAGAAATATACACATATATATAAGTTCAAAAATAAGTAAAGTATGTGAGATTCTACTTACCTCATTTTAATCCTACCATTTAATGTTTCCTCAAAATAATTAATGATCTATTAAAGATCATTTCAAATATAAAAAATTAATCAACCTTAATATAGAATATTATTTTAATCCACCACTACAAACACCATTGTTCTTATGTAACAAAAATTTCCCTTTCTAATCCCATCCAATTTCTGTTTTCTATTTTTACAGCTATAAAATCACATTACTAAACCTTCTTAACACTTCATTAGCACTAATTAAAATTTAAATGATTTGTCTAAACTAATCTTGAAGAGGGATAATAGATTTCTTAAAATTTTAGGATTTTTCGATTATAAGTTAAATTGTAAGACTTAACAATTAAAATTATTTTTCAAAAATTGAAAGAAGTTATTTACTTACTTATGAAAGACAATTCTCCTTGTAGATTTTGTTTTTAACCTCTAATTGAAATCCTTCAATCTGCTCTGTGTAAGGAAGAAAGGAGAAATAAGGCTATTCTTTTCTTTTGATCAATTGTTGACTATACAAGTGATATAAGTTAATCCTATTAAAAGTTGAGTTATTCATCATTAAATCCTTTACCTTTCTAACTTTTGATTAAAAGTCCCTTTCACTTATAAAAGTTATTAAAAAATTATATTTTTTATACAGGTATTACAATAATGGCTGTGTTTAATTAGGAAAGAAGTAGTCACAGTCATATATCCCAATTATAAGCAAAGTTGGTCCCGTTTTGTGCGTAATTTTAGATAGTCTGATATGCAGTTTTATTCAATGATTAGATCGGTTAACGGTTCTTCTAGTATCAGAACTTTTTTTTTTCTTCTGAAAGCTGGGAATTCTGTGATTCAGTATAACCGTGTTGTTATTACTGCTACGAATAGCATGCCTAAATCCAAAGTATTCTCTCCTGTTCATACGACTAGCTAGCACATTTTCTGAGCTTCAATTTGAGTAGTGTTCCTTCTAATTAACAGGTTGTAAGAAATTGCAGCAAAAATACTGTTTTATTGACCTTCAAACACAAATTCTGTTTGCCACATATCTTTGCAGCGGCTCCTAGTTCTCATTCATCTTTTGGATACGCAATTAGGCAATTATGCTTTATATCCACTGTAGGCTGAGTAATTTACTTTGAGGAACTTATCGATCTCAAATTCTGATTTTCATGCTTATGAGAATATCATTTGCATCTCATTAAATTAACAAAAATTATCTCATACACAGGTAGTGGAGTTTTTAGTAAAATTAATCTTTCTATGGAACGATTCAATTTGATTATTCAATAGTAAAGTTTAGTGCGTCCTGTTGAAGCCTAGCTGTTTCTGTGGTTTGCATGCTAAATTGGAAACCGTTTGCATTTTCCTTCAAGTCATATAACCAATTTCATTCCACTAGCTGCATTCTTCTATTTAAATTTAGCACTTTTAAGGAAGCTAATACGATGGATTTAAGGTTGATTTAGTAGCGTTGTAAGAAGGACTACCGCGGGGTGATGTCCTTTGAATCTCTAAAGATTTAATTATAAAACAACACCACCACACAATGGGAGTCTCTCCCACCTTGCTGCTTATCTTTTAAAATTTGCCTTGCACAGTTGACAGTACCTATACTTTTTTCAATTTCGCTCTCTGATTCTATTGAGCTGCCCCTTTTTCGCCAAGAAAAATCCAAACAAAGGATATAAAAGAAAAAGGCAGAGAAGCAAATTTACGGACGCAATCTTAAGTAACAAATGATATCTAGTGGTCGTTTTGGACTTCAAACAAATTGCTGCTTTTTCTATGCATTCATGCTCGGACCAAAAGCTTATCTTTTCAGATTTCAGCAACAGGATGTGATGCAATGTCCCACTTTGCTGAAACAGTTTACTTTGAATAGCGGTTTGATCTAAGAATTTATATTTTCTTGCTCTAAGAAAGTGGAAACTCCTGGTAAAACCAACATGGAATTCTTTCAATCACATCAAGCAATTTAAGTAATTAGCGATATGATGAGTCCAAGTCCAACAATCTCCAATTTGTTTCTTTCGGACAACAGCCTGCCATTATGTTACTAATCCCCCGACATCCTTCCACAAAAAACCAAAGAACGTAACTAGGACTCGGTTAGGTTTGATTTTGGACAAAAATTGTGGTTCCTGTGTAGTATTTTAAGTTTTCAGAAACCGGAATCGAACTGAACAGCATCGGTTTGGATCTGTTTGGTTTTTAAAATTTTTGATTTTTTTTTTGTACTTTTATGTTATTTTTAATTATTTTATTTATATATAAAATATTTTTATTTTATAAAAATTAAAATGATTTAAAATATATTAATAAAATATACAATTCAATCTAATTGGGGTAATTTTGATTTTCAAACTTATGAACTGAAATCAAATAAAACTGAAGAAGAAGATTTTATTGTTCGAATTGAATACATAAAATTCTAACTCAGCTGAACGTTATGGTTCGCTACTTTTTTTTTTTTTCAGCCCCTAAAAGTAACAATAATAATAGTAACAAATAAATAAATAAAACCAACAAAAATATAGAGAAGCAAACATATATATTAATTCCGAACGCGAAATGGGCACATCTTTCTTAATTTTTCAGTCAAGTCTGATCTATGGTTTGGTTCCTTTCAGAAGCTCCAGATCAGGGTCTTAGCAATGGTGAAGCAGCAGCTCTTCTTACAGGCTCACCGGCCGATAAAACAACGTCACCTGCATATTCTCGTAGGAAGAATATCTGCGTGCTCTCCACTCTTCAATTCACTAAATTTCTATCTATCCTCCCGCTCGAACCTTTAAAACTAGATCAGACTTGACTATTCAACAATTTTGTGATTGTTAGAAGAGGACTTGAAGGCAATGCGATCCCATTAGTATATAGAAACGACACTCTAATCAATTGAAAACAAGAAGAATAAACTGTTTGATTTTGATGATGGATATTAAGCTGAAGGGGGTTGCTCATGCTAATGTTTGTGACTAAAGTGGCCGATGTCATCACAGTTGGGCTTCCAGGCAAAAAGTCAAAACCTGCAAAATCCCCAGCCAAGGAAACAATCGAACAGCCTCTAATTACATGGAAGCGATGGTCAATAATTTTCTCTTACGCTGGCCTATAAAACATGGCCAAGAGCCAGAAGCAGAGGTTGTAGTGGCATAAAATTTCTAACTTTTGAGTAGAGTTTTGTTCCCTATCCATGTTCATATTAGTTGACTTCCATTGACAGTAGTGATGGAAAACAAATAAACACACCCCAGCATTCATATACAAACAATAGAGTAAACTTCAAACAAAAAATAAGAACTTACATTTAGTCCAAAGTGGTCTATTCCAAATTCAATATACTAATATTTAAATCTTTATAATTATGATACTTTTAAAATAAAAAAAATTATAAAAAATTTTTTACTCAAAACTTAAAGTAAATATTCAATTATACATTTTTAATAAACCACTCATTTAATTGTTTTTTTGATATTTGAGATTATTATATTAAAATCAAAACATATTATTTATAAAAGTGAAACCTCTTATAAATTTATTAAACTTTTTAAGTGAGATTCAAAATAAACTCTCAACTTTTGTAATTGTATTCAACTTTCAATCGTAAGATTAAAAAATTCAAGACAGTTATCAACAAGTTGGAGTCTGTGATCATTTTGAAGACTAAAATGGCTGGAGTCCTTTTTCAAACTTGTCTTGTTGGTTGCTTTTTAGGTCCAATTTTCTGGATAAGTGTGAGCCTTCAAAAGAAACCGAATATTAGAAGATTTGGCCCAGAAGTTTGGGTCAGGTTATTTGGTATTGATTCGGGTTTTGAATCATTCCGATTTAATATTTATATTTTTCGAATTTAAGTCATCGAGATCATTTTAAATTTAAATTATTAAATTTTAAAATTAAATGTTAATCTACAAATTATAAGATATAAAATTTAATTTATTATTATTATAAAGTAAAATCAATTAATCTGAGTCATTTTAACTAGATCAGATTTAAATTATTTCAAAATTAAATTAATTTAAATTCAAAATATTTTAATTTTAATTTTAAAAAGTTTTGATATTTCAAATTCACGTCAACTTTGATAGCTCAAATGGTTATTACCATCAATTTTGCTTCTTAAGATCCAGAAATTATAAGTATTTCCAAACTTTGAGTTTGGAGTTCTAAATTTTGTAATAGTAAAACTTGTGAAAAAATACGTGTTGTAAAATAATTAACTAAAACAATAATTAAGAATCAAAGCCCAATAGATGTTACTTGTTTAAATTTGCTAATTTCATTCAAAATATCTTTGTAAAAAGTATTTTGAAAATAAAATTTTAAATGTATTAAATCAATAAAAAAAAAGTATACTTTTAAGATAATTGAGAAAGAAATTAACCTCAAACAAAATTAGAAAGTACTTATGATCATATTGTATAAAAAAAAATTGAAACACACTAAATTAGAATTTAAATTTGCTAATTTTGACCATAAAAGACGTTTCTTAAAAAATGTGTTTTTGGTCAACAAGAAGTTCCTTGAGGGAGAAAAAAAGTAGGCACTTGAAAGAAAAAGAGGAATCAAGAGAAAAACCGAAGATTCTCACCATTCCTACCGTCCAAATGGTATAGTGGCTCCACCCTACATGGGGTACAGACACCCAACAATGCCATACATTCTGAGATTTCCTTCACTCTTATCTCTTATTGGACCGTGCATTTCACTTTTCTTCTTGCGCGATTAAAATTCTATCACCCCATTCTCCTCCCACTCGCTCTAAAAAACGCATTGGGCTGGGATGTTTTAATTTCTTTTCCACTTCAATTTTTCTTTCACACGGTAAACTGAAAAAAGGGTAACAACCCAAAAAAAAAAAAAAACCCTTAACCCGCTCGTAATTTCTCGCATGCAATCGGAGCTCCGGCTCCCTTAACGGAGCCCCAGCTCAATTATCTCATTTTTCCCTCTCTTTTAGATCTTTGTCCCATTTTCTCTCATTTTTCCCCAGATCTCAACAAAACAAAATATCAAAGAAAAAAAAAAAAGAAAGGTGATAGTATAAAAATTTTCAAAAATGTCGAAACCATGGGGTAGCATCGGCGCATGGGCCGCCGAAGCCGAGCGAGAAGAAGCGGAGGAACGTGAAGCTGCGGAAGCCGCGGCCGCTGCGTCAGCTGCTTTTCGCACGGCTGAATCGCAGAGTTTTCCTAGCCTAGGGGAAGCCGTTAGCGCGAAGCCCAAGAAGAAGAAAATGACTCTTTCGGAGTTCGCCATGGGGACTTATTCGTCTTCCGGAGGCGGCGGAGTTGGTGGTAGTACTAGGGTAACGAAACACGACAGACTTACGCACGAAGAGATGATGCTCCTCCCGACCCGACCCAAAGAACGTTCCGCAGATGAAATGCAGTATGGCCGTCTTGGAGGTGGGTTTTCGTCTTATGGGAGGTCCGGTCCACATGCGGGTCAGGTTATGGGTAACCGTGACAACAGCGACGGGTCATGGGGCTCCGGAAGAAGACAGCATGGAGGTTTTGATGAAGAACGACGAGGTCCGCCTTCTAGGGTTTCTGATTACGATCAGCCGTCGCGTGCCGATGAGGTGGATAATTGGTCAGTGGCAAAGAAAGCAATTCCTTCCTTTGAATCTTCGGGCCGGCAGAATCGATACGGTGGGCTTGGAACTGGAGGAGGTGGGGGAATCTCTAGGGCCGATGAGGTTGATAATTGGACGGCTGGAAAACGGCCAATTCCAGCTCGATCTTCGACGTTTGGTTCGGGTTTTCGCGACTCTGGATCGGGTCCTGATAGATGGATCAGGGGTGGTGGTGGGGGTGGATTCAGAGAGGAAAGGCCTAGATTAGTTTTGGATCCACCGCGAGGGGAAGTGAATGAGCCTGTGGTTAAGACAAATAAGCCGAATCCTTTTGGGGCAGCGAGGCCCAGGGAAGAGGTGTTGGCGGAGAAAGGATTGGATTGGAAGAAGCTGGATTCTGAAATTGAAGCGAAGAAGGTAACTAGTAGGCCTACTAGTTCTCACTCCAGCAGGCCATCAAGTGCACAATCCAGCAGGTCCGAAGGTCCCCAGCAGCAATGGACTGAAAATGTAGTCAAGCCGAGGCCAAAGGTCAATCCGTTTGGAGATGCTAAGCCTAGAGAAGTTTTGCTGGAAGAGCGAGGTCAGGATTGGCGTAAGATTGATCTTAACTTAGAACGTCGCAGGATGGACAGGTTTCCATTTCATTTAGCTAATCATTTTGTTAATAATTTATTGCAAATGTTCTTTTTGGGATTTTGTTTGAATTTATTTTGATCTGTTTCCTTTAATGTTGTTGTTAATGAATGCTTTGGGGATGCTTAAGTGCTTAGCATATTTGCTTCAGTAAATTGTCTTAGCTGTTAATGCATTGCTGTCATTGCTGATTGTTTATACTCGCTAGTGGGTATATTACATTGCCTATTAAGCAATCCTTTGTTGTTAAGACTTTGAAGTTAATGTAGAACATTTCGAATATCATATGATTAATGACATTTGATTATAACCTTAGATTTATTGAATGATGTTACTTTAAGCCTAGAAAATATAATTGTTCCTTCCCAATAGTTCTATTTCTTAAAATAATTTGATCTTTTTAGGTGGTTGCATAATTATTTATTTGGAACCACTAAATCATAGTTCATGATCAGATTGTTTCCATGAACTCAATCTGGCATGTGAATTTTTCCAGTATCATAAAATTCCTCTGTGTCTATTCTCTGTAGAGGGTTGATTTGTTCTTAAGTGGGTGTTTATGTGCAAACAACTGAATTAACCAAACTGATTATGTAGTGTTTGAGCACACTTTTTTTTTTCTCTAAAAGTTCATATAGTGGCTGAAGTACTTGATGTTGGAGTCTAGGGCTCCATCTTAGAAACTAATTTTGGATTATGTATGAGTTCCCTACAGATGTTTGGCTTCTGAATCAGTTTGAGCTTCTTTTTCATGCATTAAATTCAAATGTACTGTTGTATTCTAAAAATTGTTTCATTTATGAATATGTGGCCAGTTCAATTGTAAACTGAATATATTATTCGTTGTGGAATTATAAGTATAGGGACTTGTTGAATAAAAAACTACTGTTGATTCATTTTTTCTTTTTTTGGTGGCTAGGGGATTGAAATTAAAATTTTCTTTCCTTTTCTGACTGGGCCGGGGGATTCCTCTTTCTATTTTCTTTTTCTTGACATCTAAGCTTTGCTTTGTATATGTTCCCCAATTTACATACATTTACCAAATTGAAAATGTTATAATTCAATGTTGCTTTTGGTTTGCTATCTTTGCCACTTAATTGCCTTCTGGTGCAGGAAGTCAACACAAATATGTGATAATTAACACCGTTCAGAAGTCATTTGTTTACTGAAATTACCCTGAGATTAATGTGGGGCACATGTAGATAACGAATGCACCAGTAGTGACATAGCAAACAGTTGTCTATTAACTTTACATTTGTTATTTTCGGTCCTCAATTATAAGGCATGATGATATTACCTCCCTTTCCTCCCATCCCAGCATTTTGTTCAAACACCCTGCCAGGCTTCTAGCATCTTTAAGGTTCTTGAAGTGCTTATTTATTTTAGTTCTAGTCCTTTTTTCACCATTCCTTCAGTTGCAAATCTTGTTTCTTTTATGCGTTTATGTGCTTGTTTTAAATCTTTGTGTACTTCTTTTGTTTAGTCTTATTTCCCATTGAGTTACCTTAATCCAATATCATCTTTAATTCTTTGCCAGATTATTAATGCAACATAGTTGTAAACTGCTGCTACTTTATCATTTTCCTTTGTGATTTCCATTTTTCTGTGATTCATTGTGATTTATCAATGTGATTAATTGTGATTTCCTGTGTAAGGTTGTCATCTAGATGGTTTCAGATGCCCCAATTGTTCAATGTGCTTGCTCACGATTGTGTCTCTATTCACCTTTGTTCCTTTCTTGCTCATAACTTTTGAATATATTGCCCACACCATTATGTTCTTCATTTCTAAAGAGAAAAATGTTTCAGGCCAGAAACAGAGGACGAAAAGAAATTAAAAGAAGAAATAGATAATCTAAGGAAGGAGCTTGGGAATGATTCAACACCAAATTCAGAATCTGCTGAAAAACTACTTAACAAGGAAAGGGAATTAGAGATACTTATCCAAGATTTGGACAAAAAAGTTAGATTTGGGCAGAAAGCTGTTGAAAGGCCTGGTTCTGGAGCTGGCAGGTTTGGTAGCTTCTCTGATAGACCACCTTCTCAGTCTGGGTCTATTGATGGTTCTAGAAGTGTGGAGTTCATGGATAGGCCTAGATCTCGTGGTACTGCAGATTCATGGACAAGGCCTGGAGATGACCGAAGAGGATTTCAGGGAGGATTTCAAGGTGGCAGGGATGGAGGATTTCAAGGTGGCAGGATAGAGGATTTCTGGGAAACAGAGATTTGGACAGGTAAGGATATAAAATATTACCAGTTTAATCTCTCATTCCTGTCTGCTCTTTCTTGACCCAGTCTTCATGGAAAACTTGGCCTCCTTATTTGATTATTTTGTTTCTTTATTTCCCTTCCCCCCCCCCCCCCCCCTTTTTTTTCACTTTATTGATATAATAACTAGGAGAATTTGCAAGTTTTAGGAGTATCTATGGTATTCTAAGGTCCTTTGTCATCCAGATATGAAGCCTTTTTTTTTTTTTTGTGACTTAGAAACTGAGCAAATTCATAGGTTCTGAAGACGTATTTTTATTTTGTACCTGTGTAAAACTGATACATCTTGAAGAAATGGAGCATTTACCGTTGCTTTCCTTCTCTTCAATTCCATTATATGTAGATTATGTTTGGAGATGTCTAACTAAATATTGGCATGTGTTGCTCCGTCATTGCATTACGATGCTCATTTGGCTATTGTAATTTGTAAGATTAGTATGCATATCTGCTCACAGAAATCAGACTAGTCATATGGCTAATGAAATTATGTTGTTTTATACGGCAGGTCAAGGTCAAGGGAGAGATGGTGAACCGCAATTGGCATTCTTTTGATATATTCTGCCCTCTACTTTTGACCACCTGGACCAATAATATTTTGTCGTCTCACCTCTCTTTAATTGTTACCCTTTTTTTGCTCTATTGTTAATCTATTGTTACATCTAGAAACAATGTAAAATGGCCTTTACACCACTCTTTTTTTCCCTCTTCTTTTTGGATTTTTTTCAAAGCAAGGAGCCTATACCTCTTAGGACTCAAATTTTCTTTAACAGACATTGTGGGATTCACCAGTTTATTGTTGAGATTCCTTTGAAATGTTATACGGATGATCTGGTGTATTGTGAAAATGGTCCAGACTGCTTTTTTTTTTTTTTTTGGGTGTGACATTCACATGATTGAGAATTGGGATGGAACCTTTGGACTATTGGTTTCCCTCAAGAGGAAAGAACTTAGATTTAAAACAAAATTCCAAGTTCTTCCTAGTAGATTATGAAGAATTATTTTTGTTTTGAAGAAAAGAGTGGTGGCATTCGGACTGTTTGGGAGATGTAGTATATACTTTAAAATGAAGAAAAAGCCGCTAGGAATGAAGTCACGTTGGCGCTAGAACTGATTTTTTTATTTCAATTGCAATAGAACTTTTATATTTGGGTTTGTTATCATTGTACAGTTTTGTTTAGTTCATGAAGTAGTAATTGTTTTGTTTTTATTCTTTGTAACGAATCAATTCATTCTCTGATGCATTGTTAATACATGTATGATATATGTATGTATAACAATTTAATTATTTACACCTGATTAAAGTAATGTGTAAACTTCCCTATCTTGCAGCCTGGATTCAAACTCGGAATCAGGTACAGTTACCAAAAATAGAGAAAAGGAGATGCATAATACTCTAGTTTTTTTTTTTTTTACATTTATTAAATAATGAATAAATCTGATCCCTTCAATTAAAAGTTTAATATTTTATTAATATATTGCATTATTGTTGGCTAATTTACTAGTTTTACAACTAAAGCTAATCACTGTTATATATATATATATATATTGATACGAATACAGTGTTATATTTTAAAATAACGTTATCGCCTCATGGTGGAACTTATTGCATATTTAAGTTTTTTTTTTTTTTTTGGGTATTAAAGAAATAAGATCCAAGAGAAATTAGGAAAAAAATTTTGTAAATATTGAAGATAGAGCCTTAAATTTGAGGGAATCCATAATCATGTTGGCGTATTCGCATTTGATTCAATGAAAAAAAAATATATCCTTTACTTAAAAGAGTTAAAAGAGTCCAAATTCTCTCTAATTAAGCACACAGTTCCACAAGAATGTAAATGGGCGTTGATGGTGAACGCTCAAAGAGTTCAGTTTAAATCCCTTAAAACCTCAGTCTTTTGCATTAAAAAGACAACTCAACCACCAATGTGCGGCATTTGTCAGATTTCCTTATTTTATTTTTCTTTACTTGCGAGAGCAATCAGCAAACTCCATATTCTAATTAATTTTTAATATATATACATATAATTGCATTGATTTTGTAACTTTTCTCATTATTTTAGTGCCGTGCCCACTTCTCTTGTTTACTTCACAAATACTTTATCTTGTTTATTGTCTATACATCTACGTAGAAGTAACTCGAAGCTGTCTGTTAGATTTGCCTTACCCAATTCCAGGAATGAATATGGTCAACTTCTTTAAGCATGCATCCCGGCATCTCAATCTACAACACCTGCTATATTTTCTCCATTTTTTCCTACAAAGGAATGTGCTTATCAAAGGTACAAATTTTAAAGTTCCCTTCTAATTTTTTGATTCATTTCTGAGTCTGTGGTTTTGACTATATCTTCATCTTTGGAGTTGTAGCAGGCAAATTTGTGGATTGGGGATGCATAAACATAGTAGTTTTCTATATTCACTGTTTCTAAATCATTCGTGCTTAGCGCAAAAGTTCGAATCTATTCTCTTATTGTTCTCTATAGCTGAATTTAGAAACAACAAAATCAGTGATCTTTTCCAACTGGGTAGTCCTAGCTATTAAAAGCTTCTATACTATTTAATACCAGGTTTATCTAATATTGCTTGTTCTATAAAAAAGGTGTGATAGATTTTGGGAAAGCTTTTCATGGACAGTGGGAGCCTTGCTAGTATTAGCAACAAAAAGTGTGTAATGGCAGTGGCAATCAATGCAGTACTTGTGGCTTCATTGCTTTGTTCATCTTGTGGTTGTCATTTTCCAGCAATTTACAACTTGGGGGATTCAAACTCTGACACAGGAAGTGCCTCGGCAACATTTGGTCAGGTTCCTCCCCCTTACGGCGAATCCTTTCTTGGTAAACCTTCTGGTAGGTATTCTGATGGGCGTCTAATCATAGATTTTATAGGTAGGTAAGAGTGGCTTTTATCAGTTGGCATTTCTCTGATTCAAGTTTGAAAGTATGTGATGTATAGTTTGATTGCAGCTATAGTCGGAGGAGAGATGCCAAAACTGACAGATGGTTGGGAACCTTACTTTACTAAAATTATGACTATTTCTACAGTATCTTTATTCAGGAAATATCATATTTTGATATTTAAGGAGTAAACTTTTGTTTAAAGCCATGTCATGGAACTGTTTTTGTTCTTTTTGTACCTCCATAGATGGAATGCTCTCTGGAAACCAACCTCTTCTAAACAAGAAATCCTAAGAGATTTATTAAGTTAGTTAACAATCTGTGCAGCTGATGAGTTGAAATTGCCATTTTTGAGTGCGTACCTTGATGCAATAGAGTCAAATTTCAGACATGGAGCAAATTTTGCAGCAAGTGGATCAACGATTCAACCAACTGATGCAAAGTTATTTGGGGCTGGTTTTAACCCCTTATCTCTTGATATACAGCTCTTGCAGTTTGAACAACTTAAAGAACGCACCGACGAGCTTTATGACGAAGGTTAGATATGAATACTTTGTGGACTGCTCCAGAAATATTCTGCAATAAGTGCTATGCAATTTTTGAGAAACGGTTTGTACTTTTATCATTTATCACGATGATCAATATTTTGCTTGCTTGTTTTTCGGCCAAGAATCCAGATTTTACAGACAGGCTCCCCAGGCCAGACGAGTTCTCAAAGGCCCTTTACGTATTAGATTCTGGACAGAATGATCTGAATTATGGCCTTATACAACTACAGAGGAGCAGGTGAAGGCATCCATTCCCAATATAATTAGTCAGTTTGCTTTGGCAATAGAGGTACTGTTGATGTTACTGTTTACATGTATTCTTTTCCAGCGTAGATTTTATTTCTCATCTTACTGCACTTGGGTTTTTGACCCTGAAATCCTCTAGATTATTGGAATTAGAAACATGAAGTATATTCGTAAATACATAACTGAGATGATCTGCCTCTATTTAGATGACAAGCTTTTAATACATCCTAAGTTCAAAAGTCACAATGGAATTACTTCTGTTTTGCTATTTTCCATTTTTTGTCCTTTCAGAGGCTCTATCTAGAAGGGAGCAAGAATATTTTGGATCCATAATACCGGTCCCATTGGCTGCTTCACCTATTTTTGTTCTAAGTTCCCCTCCAAAGCCTGGGAGTGCTGACCAAACTGGCTGCATTAAGTCTTACAATGAGGTGGCTCAAGAATTCAACAAGCAGCTTAAAGACAGGATTTCTCAACTTAGGGCCCAGCTCCTTGGTGCAAGGCTTATATATGTTGATATCTACTCAGCCAAATATTCTCTAATTAGTGAAGCAAATAAATATGGTAGGTTTTACACTGTCATTGACCTTCACTGTTTTGTAACATTTTCATTTTCTATATCAGAAGTTCCGCGGTGGCCGAGCCTTGGTGCTATTATAATGTTGCTCCACTCTGACACTGAGGTTCCAGGTTGAAGTTGGGAAGGAGGGGAAAGACTCTAATGAGCTGCCCTTTGTCATTAAGTTGCCTTTATCTTGATATGATGCTTATTCTTGGGTCACGTTCATGGTTATGATGTATTTATTTGTTTTCTCGAGCAAAATCGAATGGATCGATTCAAATTTTCATTGAAACACACTAACGCCCATCTTTGACTTTGTGGTGGCAAGTTTTGTTGGTCCTTTTATAAACTGTTGCGGACACTTTGGTGATTATCATGTGGAATGTGGGAAGACAGCAGTGGTGAACGGTATTGAAATTTTCGGGGCTTCTTGCAGTGATCCTTCCAAACACATTAGTTGGGATGGTATTCATTATACTGAAGCCGCAAACTATTGGGTGGCCAACAGGATTTTGGGTGGCTCCTTCTCGGATCCACCAGTTCCCATAGCCAAAGTATGTCTCTAGCTTCATTCTTGTTCACTTATACGCTCAAATATTCTGTCATGTTTTTCTTTATCCATGGTAAATGGAAAGATTTTGATTCAGAGAGAAGAACATTGTACCCTAAAGAAAATCATCCCATATCACCCGCCAGAGCAGGAAAATTAGCAACGGCAAGAGTCAAAAGGAAATCACCCTTTGATTTTAAAGACTTAAAGGTGCCAGCCAACAAAGAATAATCTCATTCTGATAGAATCAATCACTTTCATTCTCGACGGCACATCTGAGATTATTAAATTTGATAAAAATCAGAGAAAATAGAACTTAAAAAGGGAAATAATTAATTAAAATGAAATTAGAAAAAGGGAAGCTTTGCACTCAAAAGACCGCTGCCTGATATCTTAACCTTAGGAAGGCGAAATTGGTGGTGGATATGCTTACATTGCGGTTATACCAGTAATTTTAGATGATGCATGAAGAAATGATACAAAAATAATTTAAAAAATATAAAATTTAAACAAAATGCATATATATGAATTTAATAAAAATTAAAAAATATGTTTTATATAAAATATCAATTCAAATTGTAACACATCATAACATATATATATATATTTATTTTATTTATTTATAGACCAGCAAGCTTCAAACTGGTTGGCAGTTCGATACTTGGGTTTACGTCAAAATCAAAAGTTTTACTAAGAAAAAGCAGCATCTTTGACGTTCCAGTAGGTTGGGTTAAGACTGCGACAAGACACCTTGAGAGTTTACAAATTTATTTGTCTGGTAAACGGATACTAAAGTTATACTAGTAGTAAAAAAAATTAAGACCAAATGCGAAGTTTGAATATGAATTTGGTAATGCAGGCTTGTTGATTCCATTAGCATTATAATATATATCTAGATCTGACCTTACCTTATGGCAAATGAGAAAACCAAAAGTAGGTTGAATATATTTATCTAGTATTTGATATCATCGTCAAACTGTTTGCTAAAACATCTGAAAGAATCGGTATGGAAGTGCCAACAAGACCCAGCATTGATATCAGTGGGAGATGGACGACTGCTTGGGCTTCAAGAAAGAGCTTAAAAACTTTCACAATAGCAGCCTTATTTGCGGTTGCATTCTCTCTTTTCTTGCTTAGTGGAAAGCAAAGGACTATTGGTCAAGCCAATGGTTGTGATTTTCCTGCCATATTCAACTTTGGTGATTCCAATTCTGACAAGGGCGGAAAGTCTGCTGCATTCCACCGAATTCCTTTGCCTAATGGCAATAGTTTCTTCCAGAAGCCAGCTGGGAGATGCTGCAATGGCAAAGTGATTATTGATTTCATAGGTCAGTGAGTGCTTTTTTTTTTTTTTCCTTTTCCTTCTTTTCTTTCCTTTAGTATTAATGAAAAAGTCTGGTCATTTAAATGCATGCATAAGAAAGACTTAACTGTTTGATACAGATTATGGTTTTTTAAATTCACTAATGGCTTTTCACATCCTATCCTAAAGGGATTGCCCTAAAGGTTAGAATTTGAAACTTTCAATCAAGTTAAAGCTCAAACTTGGGATTTTCACATTCTTAGGTTTCGACAGTGGTAATATATTTTAGGATTAAGCTCAAATTTGCCTCTATACTATGAGTCAATGTTGAATGTTGATTTTCTAAAATCATAAGAAGTACCTTTCATGTACTAAACTCCATTATCATACTTTGCAGCTGAGAAATTGGGATTGCCATATTTGAGTGCGTACCTAGACTCAATTGGTACAAATTTTCAACATGGAGCTAATTTTGCTACGGGAGGGTCTATAATTCAACCACTGGATGCCAGAATGTTTAAGCTAGGATATAGCCCCATTACTCTTGACATACAGGTTTCACAATTTGAACAGTTCAAAGATAGAGTAAATGAGCTATATAAAGAAGGTTAGAAACAATTTCAAAAATCAAGGAAAAAAGAAACATAATTTCTTAACTGGAATAATACTCAAGCTTTTTTATTTTTTTGGCATGGAATTTACTGATTTTTTCTTTTCAGGTGTGAATTCAGACATCAAGAGGAAGCTTCCACGACCAGAGGACTTCTCACAAGCACTGTACATATTTGAGGTTGGGCAGAATGATCTTGATGGTGCATTTAAGTCAATGACAGAGAAACAGGTTGTGGAATCTATTCCTGGAATTATTAGCCAATTTGCTCAGGCTGTAAAGGTAACTAGAAGTTGTGAACACAATATATTAGTCTTGAATTCCTCATAATAGTAGGAAATTGATTTGGTTTTGAAAAATACTTTCTCTATGATTCTTCTGTATGATTACTCCATGCATGAAGCTTACTCAAAAGCACAGTTACATGGTCTAATACTCTGTTATTAACTTTCTATATCTAGTTCCTTTTGTTGGTTTCAATAATTAGCTCAAATCAATAACTGGTGCAACTGCAAGTAATGCTTTGATGCTCTGAGATTGTAAACCTCTAAGCGGCAAGGAAATATAATGGCACTAAATATCTGACAACAGGAAAGGGCTTTGGTTATTTGTTGTTGTTGTTGTTGTATTGCCCTAGGTACACAATAACATGGAAAATAATGCTTGGGAATTGATATCATTGCAACTTCAAAATCCAAAACTGAGGACAACTGTTTTCCTCCCTCTGTAAGAACAATCGTGATTTACTAGGAAGCTTATCCAGAATAGTGAAACTTGAAAGATTGGAAGGAATGAATCATATCTCCACCATGTTGGCCGAAAGGGGCAATGCGGTTCATAAAGTCTGTTAATTTGAAACTTCATAAAGTGAAAGAGAAAACCAACTTTGATGATTGCTCTTATTTCCGCTTGACAATGCTCTTCGCTGAAACAATCTATGCTTACTACTAGCCTGCTAGAATTACAGTTTCCTACTTATTCTTGCCAGATAAGGTTGGCTTCCATTTATCCACATGGTTCAGCATACACTAATAAGAACAGCATAGTATAAATTCCCTTCAAAACTCCCATATCAAAAATAAGTTAATGAATGTGGATAATCTGAATTTTAAAATTTATGCTTTAGCTTTTTTTTTATTTATTTTTTTCCTTTTCAGCGACTACATCAACAAGGAGCAGGAACATTCTGGATACACAACACAGGTCCAATAGGCTGTCTACCCTTCCAGGTTCTAGAATATCCTCCGCAAACTGACAATGTGGATCAAAATGGTTGCATAAGGTCTCGTAATGAGGTTGCTCAAGAATTTAACAGACAGCTTAAAGAGAGAGTTATCCAACTTAGGATGCAATTCCCAGATGCAGCAATGACTTATGTTGACATTTACTCAGCAAAATATTCATTAATTTCTGATGCAAAGAAGCATGGTAAGCTCACTGACTAATCATTTTTGTTTCCACAGCTCACTGACTAAGAATGGTAAGCATGCAATTCCCAGATAAACTTCTCTGAGGACTGCAAAATTGGCAACTTTCGGTTATTAGCTTCTCATTGCTTTCTGTGTGTTCTATATTAAACACCGACCCTTTTTGCAGGATTTGCAAATGCGCTTAGATATTGCTGTGGGCATTATCGGGATAACCTGTGCTGGAGGAAGAAAGTAGTGAATGGTACTGAAATTTTGGGGACTTCATGCCGCAATACTTCAGCTTATATAAGTTGGGATGGCATTCATTATTCCCACGCTGCAAATCTGTGGGTAGCTAACAAGGTTCTTGATGGATTGCTTTCAGACCCTCCAACTCCCATTACCGAAGCATGCCTCATGCCTCTTCATTTGTAATTCTAAGACCAATTCAGCACTCTGTAACTGTTCATAGTTGTGTTGTAATTTTTTCTTTCCCTCTTTCCATCTGTTTATTAAGATCACCTTTAGAAGTACCATTAAACAATTTCGGAAGTCTATGTTATAGCTAAAAAAATTTATAAATCTGGCTGATTTTATTGTGTTATGATTCGGAGCGTCTATGCACCCAAGATCAGCTCTTTTTAATTACAGATGTCATCATTACACATTAGGCTAAACTTGAAGTAGAGCAAGATATCATTGTATAGAAGACTAAGTAATCTATTCTAGATAAAAAGTGCTGTTCAAAATCCAGTCTATCATACGACCATTGAAATTTGTTTTATAATATTCTAAATTTTGGATTTTTTTTAGGCTGAGCAAAAGTTATTCCCTTCATGGACATGGCATCATGTATTTTGCTATTATATCCTGCTTTGTTTATTGTTATCATTGTGCAACTTGTTTTAGTGAATGAAGAATTTAATTCTGTCGTTATTTCTTTTATTTTATGAATCAACTGATGAATATTTGTTTACAAGTACTATGAATAATGAAATGCTTAATTCACTGGCTTTACAATCAAACCAAAACATCGATTTAAAAAATGGTCTGCACCAGCTGTCAGGAATTCATTGGCCAAGAGCTACAGTGTTATACTTAAATAAAAAAGAAAAGAAACCTCCTGTCATTTTGCCAATGGGTCATTGGCCATGCCCAGAATATCATCTCAATTGCACTTGTACTTGATTCCGGTTTCTGGAGGCTTTGGATAAGTTTCAACTTGTCAGATTCAATCATAAAGCTTGTCCACCCTCTTCGTTCAACAAGAACAGAAGGCAACCCAATGGCCATAGCTACAACCACCAGCTCACCCTGTTTTGACCAAAGCATAACACCATAAATCAAAACTCCACCTTATAAATTTGTTGATTGGGAGGGGGTAAACATAGTAGTTTTCAATCTCACTGTTTCTAAATCAATTGTGCTTACCTCAAAAGTTCAAGTTTATTCTCACATTCTTCTCTGTCGCTGAATTTACAAACAACAAACACAGTGATATTTTCTAACGGGCTACTACTTCCCTGTCCATGTACTAACATTGCCCCACTTGGCTAATAAAAGTTACTGTACTATTTAATACCCGGTTTATCTAATATTGCTCGTTTTATAAAAAGTGTGATAGATTTTGGGAAAGCTTTCCATGGATAGTGGAAGCCTTGCTGGTATTAGCAACAAGAAGAGTTTAATGGCAGCGGCAATCAATGCAGTACTTGTGGCTTCATTGCTTGGTTCATCTTATGGTTGTCCTTTTCCAGCAATTTACAACTTGGGCGATTCCAATTCCGACACAGGAAGTGTCTCGGCAATATTTGGTCTTCCTCCTCCCCCTTATGGCGAGTCCTTTTTTGGTAGACCTTTTGGTCGGTATTCTGATGGGCGTCTAATAATCGATTTTATAGGTAAGCGTGGCTTTAGTCAGTTGGTATTTCTCTGATTCAATTTTTAAGGTATGCAGCTATAATAGGAGGTGAGATGCCAACAAAGATAGATGGTTGGGTACCGTACTTTACTCAAATTATGATCATATTTTGATAGTTAGAGTCAACTTTGTTTAAACCCATGTCATAGAACTGTAATTTTTCTCTTTTGTACCTCCATAGATGCGATGATCTCCGCAAACAAGAAGACCTGAGAGATTTATTAAGTTTGTTAACAATCTGTGCAGCTGATGAGTTGAAATTGCCATTCTTGAGTGCATACCTTGATGCAATAGATTCAAATTTCAGACATGGAGCGAATTTTGCACAAAGTGGATCAACGATTCAACCAGCTGGTGGCAAATTAGTCGATGCAGGTTTTAACCCGTTATCTATTGATGTACAGCTCTTGCAGTTTGAAAGACTTAAAAACCACAGCAACGAGATTATGAAGAAGGTTAGTTATGCATACTTTGTGGACTATTGCAGAAATATTCTGCAATAAGTGCTATTCAATTTTTGAGACAAGGTTTATATTTTATCATTATCACAATGATTAATATTGTGCTTGCTTGTTTTCCGGTAAAGAATCCAGATTTTACGGACAGGCTCCCCAGGCCAGAGGAGTTCTCAAGGGCCATTTATATGTTAGATTGTGGACAGAATGATCTGCATTATGGTCTTATAACCTCTACAGAAGAGCAGGTGAAGGCATCCATTCCCAATATAATCAGTCAGTTTGCTGTGACAATAGAGGTATTATTGATGCTACCGTCTATTTGTACAGTTTTCCAGCGTAGGCTTTATTTTCTCATCTTACTGCACTTGGGTTTTTCATCCTGAGAAGTGAGATGCTATAGACTATTGGTATTAGCATCATGAAGTACATTCATAAATATATGATTGAGATGATCTGACTCATTTTGATTACATGCTTTTAATACACCTCAAAATTAAAAGTCACGATTAAATGACTTCTGTTTCGCTATTTTCATTTTGTCTATTCAGAAGCTCTATCTAGAAGTAGCTAGAATATTTTGGATACATAATACCGGTCCCATTGGCTGCTTGCCTGTTTTTGTTCTAAGTGCGCCTCCAAAGCCTGGGAATGCTGACCAAACTGGCTGCATTAAGTCTTATAATGAGGTGGCTCAAGAATTCAACAAGCAGCTTAGAGACAGGATTTCTCAACTTAGGTCCCAGCTCCTTGGTGCAAGGCTTGTATATGTTGACATCTACTCAGCTAAATATTCTCTAATTAGTGATGCAAAAAAATACGGTAAGTTTTACACTGTCATTGACCTTTACAGTTTTGTAACATTTTCTTATCCTATATCAGAAGTTCCGCAGTGGTTAACCTTGGTGCTGTTGTAATGTTGCTCCAACCTGACCTGGAGCTACCAGGTTGAAGTTGCAAAGTAGAGGAAAGACTGTGTATATTTGACCACTTAGAGCCCACAATATTGGAGCTTCTTCTAATGAGCTGCCCTTTGTCATTAAGTTCCATAACGTTTGGAAAGTTTTGCCTTTACCATTAGCAGTAAAGATTTTATCTTGCTATGATGCTTATTCTTATGTCAGTCTTGATTATGTTGTATTTATTTGTTTTATCAAGTAAAACCGGAAGGATTGATTCAAAATTTCATTGAAACATACCAACGCTCATCTTTGACCTCGTGCTTGCATGCAGGTTTTGTTGGTCCTTTTATAAACTGTTGCGGGCACTTCGGTGATTATCATGTCGAATGTGGGGAGACAGCAGTGGTGAACGAGACTGAAATTTTTGGGGCTTCTTGCAGTGATCCTTCCAAACACATTAGTTGGGATGGTGTTCATTATACTGAAGCTGCAAACTATTGGGTAGCCAACAGGATTTTGGATGGCTCTTTCTCAGATCCCCCGGTTCCCCTAGCCAAAGCATGTCGCTAGCCCCTGTTAAATGGAAAGATTTGATTCAGAGAGGACATTGCAGCCTAAAGAATGTCCTCCATGTGACCTGCCAGAGCAGGAACATAGCAACGGCGAAAGGAAATTAAAAAAAGAAAAAAAAAGCCCGTGCCTAATATGATAGGAAAGGCTAAATTGGTGGTGGGCTACAGCTACTCAGCTCCATTTCAATGACATTGTAGTGGTCGACCCTTGGGGTAAAGTTGACACGTGATCGTACCAAACAAAGAAAGCTATGATATTCAAGTTATGTCAACATCATCTGCTGTAAAGAAAAGCAGTAAGTTGATTTTAAAATAGGTAGGGTAAAATCATAGCAGTCAATTTAACATGTACGATAATATAATATAAAAAATATAAAAATAATATAATTTAAAATTTTAATAATTATTATATAAATTTAATAAAATTACAATTTATATTTTATATTTTTATAAAAATAAAAATTATAATATATAATTTTTATATAAAATATGATATAATTATATAAATTTTAATATTTTATATAATATAAATATGTCATTCATTCAATTCAGATAAAATTATGACAAGGCACTTGCTTATTTACGATTTGATCAAAGGAATATTGAATTTATAGTTGTAATAAAAACTGGAGGCCTAATGCAACGTTTATGAATTTACCAGTAACAAAAGTAAACTGAATTTATTTACCAATAGTTTTTAAAATTTTTTTAGTTACCGTGCGTTACAGTAATCTAATTCAGACTTGCTGGAGGCTCCCTCAACTCCCTCCAAAGACACTGATTTTGTTGGAGGCAATCAAGCAACGAAGAAGCAACAAGCAAGCAATGCAACGGTAACAATTCAAACCATCCAAAGGCAGTCCAAATCAATGCAGCAAATTCAGGAATTAGACAAAAGATTCGTCTCATGAGAAAGAAAGTAATGGTAAAAAATTCCAACAGTTAATAGAGTGCGGGCATGAACCATAACAACTAAACTACTGGTTCAATATTAACATATGTTAAATCCATTGTTTATTAGATTTGATATACATTACATACCTTTTATATCAGTCAACCTGTTGTGTTTACATTCTGTTATAAATAGAGACGAGCAAGAACAACCCGAGCCTATGGTTAGTCTTTTACAAAAACCCTAAACTTCTTCGGATTTTAGTCAAAAACTTCAGTAAAAGTGATTTTTTTCCCCAAGTGTCCACTACGTGCTAGTTAGTAGTGCTAGTAGTCCGAGAATTTAGCTACGGCAACTTGTTTGCTAAAAGATCTGAAAAAACCAGTATGGAAGGGGCAATACCCAGTACTGGTACCAGTAGGGGACTGGAGACTGGTTGGGCTTTAAGAAGGGGCGTAAGAACTGTTACAATAACAGCCTTGTTGGCTGTTGCATTCTCTCTTTTATTGCTTAGTGGAAAGCAAAGGAATCTTGGTCAATCCACTGGTTGTGATTTTCCTGCCATATTCAACTTTGGTGATTCCAATTCTGACACGGGCGGAAAGTCTGCTGCATTCCACCAAATTCCTTGGCCTAATGGCATTACCTTCTTCCAAAAACCAACAGGGAGATATTGCAATGGAAAACTGATTATTGACTTTATAGGTCAGTGAGTGCTCTTTTCTTTTTTCATTTCTTTAATGTTAATGAAAAAGTCTAGTCATTTAAATGCCCTAAAGGTTAGAATTGAGGTTTTGACTTTGGGACTTTTTTACAATCTTAGGTTTTGATTTTGGTAATTTGTTTTGTATGTGACTCAGTGGTCAGAGGACTAAATTCCTCAAGTTTTCCATTCAACTCTTTAAAAAAAAAATTGTGGCACAATAGTAAAATTAGATAAAACTGGAAGCTAAGTGTAGATAAAGCTGGTCTACTTCATTCAACTTTGCAGACTGAATATTGTCCTGCTTGGTGCTTAAAATCATATGAATGCACTCTGTTTCTATCTTATAGTAAACTCAGTTATCATATTTTGCAGCTGAGAAATTGGGACTGCCATATTTGAGTGCGTATCTGGACTCAATTGATGCAAATTTTCGACATGGAGCTAATTTTGCTACAGGAGGGTCTACAATTCAGCCACTAGATGTCAGAACGTTTAAGCAAGGGTTTAGCCCCATTTCTCTTGAAATACAACTTTCGCAATTTGAACGGTTCAAAGAACAAGCAAATGAGCTATACAAAGAAGGTTAGAAACAATTTAAAAAATTAAAGACAAAAGAAACTTAAATTTTTAAACTAGAATTGTACTCGAGCTTTCCATTTTTTATGGCATGGAACTGGCTGGTTTTTTTTCATTCAAGGTGTGAATTCAAACATCAAAAGCAAGCTTCCAAAACCTGAGGACTTCTCACAAGCACTATACACATTTGATATTGGACAGAATGATCTTGATGCTGCATTTAAGTCAATGACAGTGAAACAGGTTGCGGAATTAGTTCCGGGAACTATCAACCAGTTGGCTCAGGCTGTAAAGGTAACTAGAAGTTTTGCCTTAACAATTTATTAGTCTTGAATTCCTTATAATACTAGGAGATTGATGGCGTTTTGGAAAATACTTTTGGGGAGTAAGTGTCTGTCCCATAAATCAAAAGCGATAATATATGCAAAGAATAAAAATATTGCATAAAAAAACCAAGAATTTATAGTGATTCACCCTTAATATGAGAGCTATGTCTATTTTTAGAATCACTACAGAAATTTTATTATAATGAAGATGGAATTACAAAGGACAAAAACTATCTCTTACTTTCTATGTTTTGTATTGACTCTCTAACTATCTCTATCTCCTCTTTCTCTTACTTCTCACTCACTTGATATTTACACACAAAAGCATAAGCCATGGCTCCCTTTTATAGATGGAATTCAAGCCCTCTATTAATTACAACTTCTATCAACCAACCAACACTTAACTCTTACTAACAATTTACAATTAATTGTGAGAACCAATTTACATTTCCAATAATAAATGAGAGTTGAATTTGTCTCCACATCTTCTTATCAACTTTCATCTATAATAAGTGAAAGTCAAATTTGTTTTCACATCTTCTAATAATCTCCCACTTAGATACTAATTCATTATCAACTATCTCTTCTTACAGTGGCCGTGACTTCTCAGTTTTCAATGGAGAAGTCCAACTAAAGTTGCACACAACTTTAGTTTCTTAGCTATTATAGTCTTCGTTAACATATCAGTTGGATTCTGATTCTCTTGAATCTTTTTAAGTACTAAGACACTATCTTCTAAAGTTGATCTTATGAAGTGATATTTAACTTGTAACTGCTTTGTCCTAGCATGATAGACAAGATTTTTTTTCCAAATGAATTGCACTCTGACTATCACAATGCAACCCATTTCTATCAAACTAGCGACCAAGTTCATCCAAGAAAGATTACAACCATATCATCTCTTTACTAGCCTTTATCACCGCAATATATTTTGTCTCAGTAGTAGAAAGTACAATTATATTTTGCAACTTTGAAATCCAATTGATTACTATACTACCTAGCATGTAAACATAATCATTAGTACTCTTTTTATTGTTTATATTGCTAGCTATGTCAGTATCAACATATTTATGCAATCCTGAGTTTGATTTATTGAAACACGAAGCTAGATTTATTATACCTTTTGGGTATCTGATAATCCACTTAACTGCCTCCTAATGTTGTTTTCTAGGATTACTCATATATGTGTTCACAAATCTCATTGCTTATACTATGTCTGGTTTGGTATACACCATGGCATACATAAGATTGCAAAATAGCAGAGGCATAAAGCACTTTAGTCATGTAGGCTTTTTCTAACTCTATAGTGGGTGACTAATCTTTGGACAATTTGAAATGACTAGCTAAAATAGTGCTCACAAGTTTTGCTCTATCCATGTTAAATCTGTAGAACACCTTTTTTATATATTCTTCCTATGATAGCTTAAAAACTTACTATTTCTGGTGATTCTCATTCCAGGGATTTGTTTTGTAGTGTCTAAATCCTTTATTGAAAATTCCTTTAAGAGCTTCTTTTTCAAAATTTCAATTTCTTGTATGCTTGCTCTGACAATTAACATATCATCGACATACAACAAAAGCATAATGCAAGAGCCATCAAACTTTTTGATATAATAGCAATGATATGCATGATACCTTAAAAGACCATTACTATACATAAAGTTGTCAAATTTCTTATACCTTTGTTTGGGAGCTTGTTTTAGACCATATAAGCTCTTCAGAAGCTTGCACATCATTTTCTTTTTTTCCTTAGGCTTCAAAACCTTATGGTCGTTGCATGTACCTACCTTTTTTTAGGTCACCATGAAGAAAAGCTATTTTATGTCCATTTGCTATAGTGCATATCTTTTGTCACTAGTCTAAGCATAATTCTAATTATGGTTAATTTAACCATTAGTGAGAAAATTTTAGCGTAGTCAATGCTTTCTTTTGTTGAAAGCCTTTTACCACTAGCCTTGCTTTATATCGTTTACTGTCATCATGTTCTTCTTTTATATGATAAATTCATTTATTCTGCAATGCTTTCTTTTCTGCTTATAATTTTGCTAACTGTCATGCTTAATTCGACATCAATGAATCCATCTCATTTTTCATGGCTAGCTCTCACTTGATTGAATCATCAACTTGTATTGCTTTTTATAACATTCTAGTTTACATTTATCAGTTAAAAGAATATAATTCAACGAAAGAGAAAATCTTTGTGGTAGCTTGATTGTCCTTGAAGATCTTTTGAGTTCTACTGCTAGAGTGGATTGATTAACATCTGGGACTATATTCTCTTATGCTTCTATAAATGTGTTTACTTGAGTTTTTTAAGCATTTTGCTGTAAATTATTCATTGGAAAGTCTTTCAAATGAATTATCTTAGGTTTTTTTATTTTAGAATCTATAGTTTCTAAAATCTTACTTAACCTATTTTTATACAAAATATGCTTATTGAAGATCACACCTCTATTTTTGATAATTTTTTGATTTTGATCATCTTAAAAATGATAACCAAACTCAATGTCTCCATAACTAATGAAGTAGCATTTCTTAGATTTTGGATTAAGTTTACCTCTGGCAGCATCATCAATATGAACATAGGGAAGACATCTAAACACTTTTAAAAACAAGAGTTATATTTTTTTGCCACTCTAAACCTCTTCTGGTATTTTACAATTTAAAAGTATTGAATGACCTCTATTGATTAAGAAAAGCAACAATGTTGACTGCATTTACCTAGAATGCTTTAGGTAGCCTCACGTGAATTCTCATACTTCTTTTATGCTAATTTAGGGTTTTGTTCATCCTTTTTGCCACTCTATTCTATTGAGGCATCCTCGGAATAGTTTTTAACATTTTGATCTCATTCTCGGCACAATAACATTTGAAATTACTATTGAAGTACTCTTTCTCATTGTCAAACTTCAAACATTTCACTTTTAGATTTGTTTCATTTTCAACCATGGTTTTCCACTATTTAAATGCATCAAACACATCAAATTTATTCTTTAAAAAATAAACTTGTACCTTCTTGCTTGAGTGATCAATAAATGTTACATAAGAGCTAGATTCTCCATGAAAAGCAATTGGTGAAAGCCCTCATACATTAGAATGGACGAACTATAATTTTTTGTTGTTTCAACTCTCTTCTAACTTTTAATAAGCTAACTCTTTTTTGTTTTTCACAAATACAATTTTCACATAGTTGATGTTGAACAGATTTTAATCAAAGAAGTTTTTCTTTTGACACAAGTATCTTCATTTCCTTTTCGTTCATATGTCTAATTAGAGTTTAATTAGTATCAATTGCCGCTAATGTATCTTTATAACTTGAGATTATATAGAAAGTCCTTGTTTTGCTTTCTTGAGCAAGAACCATAGCTCTTTTTGTGACTTTCCATATATTGCATGTGAATGTTACATTATGCCCTTCATCATCAAGCTATCTTATTGAGATCAGGTTATGCATCAACTTCAATACATGCCTTGCTTTCTGAATCTTTCACATAGACCTATTTAGCATCTTTAAACAAATACCACCTATACTAACAATATCCAAAGGTTCTTCATCAACTAAATAAACATTTCAATAATTTTCAGCAACATAATTTTTCATCATGTTGCATTGAACAGTGGTATGAAAAGATGCTTTAGATCTAAGACGTAAGAGTCAATTAGGATATCGATAAAGAATAGAGTGCATTATTCATCTCTTCATTAATAGCATTTGAAGCATCTTTTTATTTTTTTTTTCTTTTGAGCCCAACATTGTTTCTTTGTATAGCCATTTTTCATAGTTCCAACACTTCATATTTTGTCTAATTTTGGAATTACTTATTCCATTTTTGGGTTTTGATTTTCCTTTGTTTCGATTAGGATTTTTGTCATTTGTTTTGCCTCTTTTGAGATTTAAAGCAGAACCCGATGTCGTCGCTTCACTAGAGTCATTTTTGTAAATTTTTTTAGCAAGAATTTGTCTCTGACATCATTGAATTTTAATTTTATAAAACTAGTAAAATTGCTAACCACTATACACATGGTTTAGCAAGAATTCATCTCTAACATCATTGAATTTTAATTTTATAGGACTAGTAGAATTACTAACCACTACTCATAGGCTCTCAACTGCTTGGTAGGAATGCCAGAATAATTAGGGCACGAATCTCATTGGCAAATCAATTTCAACGAAAGTCAATTAATTGACAATTGTGTTAAACTCATTGAGATGTAATGCCATTTAAGCGCCTTTAACCATATTCAAATGGAACAATTTCTTCATGAGACAAACTTTATTGTTTGTAATAGGTTTTTCATACATATTAAAGAGCACTTTAATCAAATATGTAATCAATGTCTTCTTGGCTACATTGTGAGCTACGTTCTTTGACGATGTTAGCTGAACGACTCCTAACATCTATTTGTAAAAGAGCTTCCAATTTTTGTTTGACATATTTTCTTATTTAGTAATTAAAAGTGGTAAATGCAACTTACTATCGAACAGATAATCTTTCATTTGCATTCTCTAAAAAGAATAATCTGTTTCACCAAATTTGTTAATTTCATATACTATACTTTCTTTGCTAGCCATCGCTTTTAAATCACTTAATTACAGTCTGTAAAGTATACAAAATATAGTACCTTATGAATGATATTCCCACTAAGTAGGTTTCAAGGAAAGATGGAATGGTCACAATTGATCTCATTTAAAATCCAATCTTCTTAGATAAACTCTTAGAGTCGTTTTTATCCATGCCACTAAATTTTTGTATAAGTGAACAACACCGTATACGTGAATAATATCATGTACTTGAACATTAACACCTATGATAAAACTTTAGCCTTATAGCTCTAATACTAGTTATTAAGGATTAAGTGCTTGTCTCGCAAACTAAAAGCGATAATATATGCAAAGAATAAAAATATTGCATAAAAAAGGCCAAGGATTTATAGTTGGTGAGGTTCACCCTCAATATGAGAGTTACG